AATTTCCTAACAGCAGTCTTCAAACACTCTGGAAAGAAAGAGGGGCCCCATTGCATCAACTCCACTTGATCTGACTTGATGCACCTGAACTGACCATTACCACCTTGAAACCAGTTTGTGACTGCATCACTCTACACAATTACAGACTAATTAACTGATATGGTGCACAGTCTACACTCTGGCCAGAGCCTCAGACAAAAGCTTCAATCAAGATTAGAACTTCAATCAAGAACTTCAATCAAGCATCCCCAATAAACCAGAGACTGAGTACACATGTTGTAGCTAGTCCACTTGAGATTTTCACTACACTAAGATTTTCTTCCTACAGGATCCCATGAGGGTATAGTCATCCCATTTCAGCAGGAAGTAATTCTGAGAATACTATGCCCCTTTCCCTACTGTTGATATTACAGGATAATTTATACCTGTTAGACTTAGTTTTCAATTATTTAGGGTTGGGATTGGAAGGGGGTGTTCAGACTTGGGCATCTCTTTCATATAAGTTTAGGGTTTAGGTGGGATAGATATGCTTAGGATAGCACATATGTATATTATAATTTGTTTATCATATTCTATTATATACTTTATACATGTTTGAGACAATTCAGTTTCACTTTAAGTCTAAATGTTTGCTTTCAACTAAAAGGGGAATGGTAGGTAAAGATCTTACTTACCCATAGCACTGACCTTACCCATTTGGTCATGGTCAGAAGTGCATTGAATGTATGGGGGACAAAAGAGCCGGGGGGAGGAGACACTTTCTTGGTTTCTCACATAAGTGGTTTCTCCCTCAATAAAATATAGGACATCCCTATTTTGGGTAGCTTAATATCTCTTCATTACTCATAAATACAAATTTACTAATATTTTTCTAATGGGACATGGTATAATATTGCCTTCTAAGTACTTTGCACCCACAGATTAGAGCTTCTGTCTTTCTTCATCAGAGACACTTCTTTTTGGGTTGCATGACAATTAATAGGAAGATTCACAACAAATCAAAGTGTTGAATATAAATGTCTATGGAGTCTTTATCTCTAAGAAAGACATCTGAATTACTAACTCCAAGGCTCTGGAAGCATCATGGAAGCAAAGATAGAAAGAATTTAAGAAGCACAGATTGTGGGGAATGCTAAGAACCAATATCTTGCCGTTCATGGTGGTTCATACACGCCTGTAATCCCAGCACTCTGGAGGCAGACATAGGAGGATCTCTGAGTTTGAGTCCAACCAAGTTTACATAGAGAACTCCAGAACAGTCAGGACTGTATAAGGAAACCTTGTCTTTAAAAACAACAGCAAGTCTCCAAAAAGAACTGATGTCTCCTGCATATAACACTGTCATTGCCCCCGTGAACTCACTGTTCCTGTAGTTACTCACCCTCATCAAAGAAGATTCCTTTTGTAGCAGATGAAGTCTATTACAGAGTTCCAAAATTGCCAGAATGTAATGACTAAGTGGCAAAATGGTGCCCAGCCTCAATTGGTATATACACAGCACAACTCCTGCAAGCAAGGTTCAGGAAATAGTGTAGAAGATCGGATGGGAAGAAGGTGAAAGTGAGAAGACCTAGAGGCCACTATGAGATTCTATCTTGTAGACATGACAGGTAAGCTGCACCAATAAAATATCAACAAAATTATTAGCTCAACAATATCTACATGGTAAAAATAATGCTCTGTGTGCCAGTATGAGCTGTGGAGGACTTTACAAGCTCCTATCTGTCAGAACATGGTCTAAGAATGAAACACTGTGAGAATTCTGAGTGCTAACGAGAAAACTCCAAGAAAGTGACAACAGTTTTAGGACTAAAGATTCTTCAAAAACACAGAATTGTTCTTGGAATTTTCTTTTGTGTACCTTCCATGTATAGTGACTAGGAGTGAGTTTACTTTAGATTACCTGTTATAACTAGTTATTGTTGTTTATTTACATGCCTGTATGCAGTGGTTCTCAAGCTTCCTAATTCTGTGACCATTTGATACAATTCCTCATGATTGTATCCTCATGAGTGTATTCCTCATGTGGAAATCACTAACCATAAAATTATTTTGATGCTACTTCATAGTTATAATTTTACCTCTGTTATTAATCATAAATATCTGATATTTAGGATATCTGATATATATCCCAAAGAGGTTAAAACTCACAGATTGAGAATCACTGCTCTATAGAAGACAAGTTTTACTATGTATGGCTTATCCTTGTGACTGAACATTTTACTCATGTGATGCTTTTTAACTCTCAGAGTATAAATTATCTAATGTTCTGAATAAAGTTGGCTACTGCATGAAATTTTTGTCCTCTTCATTTTTAAGCTCCATTCTCCCATGTCAAAAAAACTTTAGGATGGTAAATACTACCAATAATTAAAGAGCTATAGGTCATCAGCTGCTGAAGAGAATGAGAAAGACAGACAGACAGACAGACAGACAGACAGAGAATAAATCAGTTTTCTCCAGGGATGAACTTCTTGATAAGTTACCAAAATCTGTCTTTAAAAATATAAATATATGATCAACACTAATTAGAGTAAGTAATTTGTATATGTGTAGGCATATATGTAATAATATAAATACAGAAGAGGTCATGAATTTGAAAGGAGTTCCAAGAGACACAGGAGGAGTTAGAAAGGTGATAAGGCGTGGGAATGATATAATACATTCTACTCAAGTATAAAATGAACTCCTGGAACCCAGTGACAGAGATGGAGTAATGACGAGCAAAGGGGTCAAGACCGTGCTGGTCAAACCAACAAAGACAGCTGACTGGACAAGGGGGAGCTCTTGAACCCCAGACTGATGGCTGAAAGGCCAACAGGGGACTGATCCAGACTCCATGAATGTAGTGTCAGTGAGGAGGCCTCAGAAATCTCTGGAGCCTTGGGTAGTAGATCAGTGTTTACCATGGCATATGAATGAGCTTTGGGAGCCCATTCCACATAGAGGGATGCCCTCTCAGCCTGGACACAGGGGGAAGCGCCTAGGTCCTGCCCTGGGTGAAATGATAGACTCTGGAGATCCCCGCAAGGAGGGCCTCATCCTCCCTTGGGAATGATATGGGGATTGGGTGAGGAGCTTGGAGCTTGGGGAGGGGGCTGGTGGAGAGACAAGGGAGGAGCGGTGGGAGAGGAAGCTGGGATCAACATGTAAAGCATTCATGTTTCTAATTTAAGTAAAAACATATATTGAGGAAAAACTTCTCAAAAATGTTAAAAGAAAATATCAAAATATAATTACATTTAATTTGACATCCAAAACCAAAATAAATAGAGGATTGTGTTTGCCTGTTGGGATATATTTGATTAAACTCTACCATGCATTATAATTTATGTAATTGTAATCATGATATATGACCCAGAGAACAAAGCTACTGTATTTCATATTCTTATGATTCATGTTGTCCTTGAATAAGAAAACCTTATCTTATTAGTATAACACCTGTCTTTTTTGCATGTCTATTACTTCATGCATTTGCTTATAATATTTGGTAGTTTCATAGTGAGCTGTGATTTTATTAAGTTATGTGTTTTTACCCTTTCATAGTTAACAATAAACTACTGTACAGCAAATATCAAATTAATAACTTTTTGCTCAAAATAATATTGGGACCTTCCATAATGTGCTTGAACTATCACAATTTTTTTCTCTTTTTGAAATGATCAATAATAGGCTGATTAAGATTATTTGTACTGTATATTTTACAAGAAAAAAGTAAAACTTAACTCTTTCCCAGCAATGTAGAAATGTGAATAAATAACATATTGAATGTGAATGATTTCTGATAGGTTAATGTGTTTGAAAACTTGCTCCATAGCAGGTGGCCCTGTTGTAGTTGCAGACCTTCAAGCAGGTGGGACCTCACAGGAATAAGTGATTTGATGGGGACAGGCTTTCTGGGGACAGCCTGCCCTTGCTCCTGCTTTAGCTCCTTCAGCTCCTGTGTCTGGATGAGGTGATAATCCCTCCCAAACTCCTTTTGTCACAACAAGCCCTTTCTTTCACCATGTCTTCCCCAACATGTTCAACTGTGTCCTTCAAATATCAACTTGAGAATTGGGAGGGGCATGTGAGGGCCTCAAGGAATGTTACCTGGGAGGGGTTGGAAGGAGGAAAGAAAACAAGGAAAGTGATGTAATTATATTTCACTTACAAAACAGATACTTCTCTCTCACAAATGCCTCTTCTCAGTTATTTGACCTCTGCAAGTATAAAAGCAACTAACACACATGTGTCCCAGAAGCTATGTAAAGTTTCTAATTAGCTAATATAACATGGTATATCATTAACACTTATAATTACAACTATGGCTTTAGCATGTTGGGAGTCTAGCACTAGTCATAAAAATAGTAGACAAGCATGATTGTGCAGTCTTTTAATCCCAACACTTAGGAGGCAGGTGGATCTCCATGAGTTCAATGCCAGTCTGACCAACACAGCAAGTTCCAGGACAGCCAGGAATGCATGAAGATACCATGTCTCAAAAAACAAAACAAACAAGAAAAAATAAAAATAAAAAATAAAGTGGACCTTAAAATAATTTCTGTGGGATATATTTCTTAAAAAATGCTGTTTTGTCTATTTTATGAAATCTACCTGGTTATTAAAAGCAGTTGTTACATAATGAAGACAATTTTATAAGCATAAATAAATGGAATAGAACTATACTGAAACTAAGACCCCCCAAGCATCAAACTTATTAACACCCTGAGAAAATGAAATAAATTATTTTGAGAATATTAAAATTTTCTGTCTCTAAAATGTCATCTATTTATTCTATATATTTTACTTTTTTAAAAAATAAATATCAGTTGAAAATTCACTAAAAATTAATTTTTTCTTTTGGCTTAAGATTCAATTGCATATTTTTTCATCCAGCAGCTGGTTACTAGATAAAGGAGGGGAAATGGAAGTATCTATAAGATAGACTCCTATGTGTTCTTAAACTGAGTTTAAGGCCTTTAATTCACCACACCCAAAGAGAGAGGCAGCACTCAGAATTTGCATGCTCATTATTTTATTGGTAGAGTGAAGATAAAGATATAATTACATTGTTCTTACATGATAATCTTCTTAGCTCATGATGCTTTCATTCACTTTCTGAAACAGAGAAAAAAGGTTATAAGGAAAGTGTGACAAACAAGTTTCTGATCTTTTGTTGTTGAACGTGGTAGGTGAAGCCCGTCTCTTTCTCTTTCTCTACTGTTTCTGTCTCTGTGTCTTTGCCTTCTGGTTTATTTATGTTTGATTTGACTTTGGGCTGTTACATCACATGATTTGGCCTCAGCTGTTACATATGAGTTGAAGAAAGAGTAATTTTCAGTGGAATATCTTTTGATTGTGATTGAAAGTATCCTAGGATGAGTTTATAAAGCTCTTCTGAGAAATATATCCTTTAATAGGAAAACACTGAAAATGTCTAAAATGTCTGGTCACGAAGTAAGAAACAACATGGCAGTGCCACACCATGAAACACCTTACAACCTCAAAAAACAAAGTGAAAACTGAAAGGAACAATGTTGAAAATAAGAGCAAACAACACAGAAAACATGTATATATATATATATATATACATACATATTCATATACATGTGTATATATGTATATATACATATGATCGAACTGATGTGTAAATTGCTGAAGAATTAAATTTTTCATGCATCTATAACATGCAAATCTCAAAATAATATATGATTAATGAAAGGTGATTATCCATGCTTGTGTATAATCAAACATTTTAAAAAGTTTTCTAATTGAATTAATGGCAGTAGCTGTTGTGAAAAAGAAGCAGCAAAGTACAACATGCTTTAAGATTTATATTTAAATATTGTGTATGGAGTTCAGAGGACTGACACTCAAGGTTGTTCTCTGAATTCCACATGCAAACCATGAAGCATGCACACTCATACACTATACTCAAACATGCACTCACCTATAGGCACATCAAGCATACATACACAGAAACCTGGCTAAGGTTTATTAACTGAGTTTTGCCATGAGACAGTCCTAAGCACAGAGTGATGACAGAAATGTAAGATGAACTGCTGTTGATTCTCAGAATCAAGGCAGAGGTAAAGAGAGAACACTGCTCTTTACCTCAGAGAGAACATTGCTCTTTACCTTAGAGAGAACATTGCTCTTTACCTCAGAGATAACATTGCTCTTTTTGTACAAAGCAATACATAGTAAGATGGATAGCCATGGTCCAAAATGAAGTTTGGGCACAATGCTTCTTAAATTAAGCATTACCTTGTAGAGGTTTTATAGAACATATTCTCTCTTACCACAGGATATCTGAATATTAATAAATGAAATGAAATCCAATCCCTCTGTATACATTCAAAACATGTTTAAAGTTTAAGAAAAGATAAATTCATTTTTTCTAAAAATACCGAAGTTTATGAGTGTCATGGGAACACACATAAGAAAAGAACTGATACCTGACAATGCTTTCTTGATTACAGATGAAACCGGCCTTGGGAATATCTCTAAGCCCTTTGTGCCTGCCGAGGGAACCTGTTTCGTTGTGGCTCTTGTCTCTGCTGCTGCACAGGCAATTGTCCCTGCTGCTGCACAGGCAATTGTTCCTGCTGCTGCACAGGCAATTGTTCCTGCTGCTGCACAGGCAATTGTTCCTGCTGCTGCACAGGCAATTGTTCCTGCTGCTGCACAGGCAACTGTCCCTGCTGCTGCACAGGCAACTGAGGCTGTTGTGACTGCTGTGGTGGCGTCTGAGGCGGTTTTGGCCTCTGAGCTGGCCGCTGAAGCTGAAGCTGTTGTGATGGCTGTGGTGGCCGCCGAATCTTTGTTTGTTGGTATTCCCCTGTGTTTTGAGGGTCAGGGGTTTGACTATCAGCAGATACTCCTTGGGAGTTTCCTGGAGAGGGTTGTCTCTCTCTGGTGAAGCGGTTGGAAACAACAAAGTCTGTGTGGGTACACAGTAAGAACAGATGAGCTGAGTGACGAGAGGCTGGCAGTTTTATCTCAAAGACTATCACACTATCCTTTTCTCTAAAGTGTCACTCAATTTCTAACCTCCTGCTTCACAACCGTGTGGTCCAGAAGACTGCCTTTAAACCTGAATAACAATGGTATAGGCCATCTTCTTTTGCCATATGCTGTGAGGCTTTGAGGATTTGGAGGAGAAAATTTCTACAGGATGTCACCACTAACAAGGAAGCCATCAAGACTTTGGAAGTTAAAATTAGTGGTTTAACCATTTCCCAGAAATGGTCCTCATGTGTGTTTCTTTCCTTCATTTGTCCTGTATCCACTAAGTATATAACAAGGCATCACTCACATACTGTCTCCTGTCATGTCATAGCTTTGTCACAAAATTTTTCCAAACTCCAATACACCTTTAGCAGCCCAGAGGGTTGTGTCTATAAGAGTAAATCTCAACTTTTAATTCTGCGTGTTGAAATGTTACTTTCAATTGTATGTTTAAAATAAATTAAAAGAAACATGCAGCTTCTTGGGATGTAATCAGGACTCAAGTGGTCTTTACAGTGACCTAAAAACCCCACAGTCATGCTTTGTTTTATTTTTTATTTCTCTTGCCTCCCTCCTGTTTGTGTGGTCTCCTATACCTCCAACCAGAATCATGGGCCTTATGCCCATATTCTCCTACCTTCACTTGGGCGTTGAGCTGAGGTCAGGGCCAGCAAGGCCATTGCGAGCAGGACCACCAGCATCATGGCGGAGGCTCTGGAGTTGCTCCCAAGTCAGTGCTGGGGGATGCCAGATAACTGGCTCTATAAGGAACGGTGGAACAATGATATCTTTGATCCCCAACTAGGAGATCCTGTTCCTCATCAAAAGGATGCATTGTGTCCCCGACTCTCCTCTTTGGCATTGCAACTCAACAGGATGTGATGGGGAATGGAACTTTGGCATGGTTTTGAGATAGCAATATCATGCAATCAATCTAGATATTTGAATTTTTCCCTCGCTATGTCAATTTCATCCTACTTAGCAAAATGTCAACATGGCCATTCACTGCATAGAGGTGAGTGAAAAGTTTGTGTAAATATGTTCATTTTTGTTATTAATCCTTTAGCCAAATTTTAAGAAGTTTAATATTTTGGGCTAGTATTATCACTCAAAGTCTATCAGTTATACTTTATATATCCCCATATGTATTATTTTCAACTCTGGTTTTGTGGGATAGAAGACATCTCCTTGTCTCTGTGGTTTCTTATGAAACAATGTTTGCTACCTCAGCCTACTGGGGCCCAGAAGATTGCCTAGGGGTATATGAATTATTCTTAATAATGGAAGACTTGCAGTTGAAGAAAGGTATGGCTTAAAACACTCTAATTGAATTAGTTTTCTTCCTTAATTTATTAAAACAAACACAGTACAGAATCCACTATGGGATTCTGCAGCACAGGAATATAGATTTGAATTTTGTTGATAATACATGATATTTTATGTCTCTCAGACATCTGCTTCCCTCCCCTTTTCTAGAATGTTTCTGGAGGTTGAATTTGGGACTTATCTTTGAGAAAACTGTTATTTTGAATGTTTTCTAATTACTAATATGAAACACTGACTAGTAGTGGTTATACAATTGAACACAGTAGCCTGTTGCCTCACCAATAATCTTAGTTGCTTTATATCTTGTGATGTATATGTAATTTATAATCAGACATAACTTTATTCTTGGGCTGGCCTACAACAAAGGGAAACATCTCTACAATATTCTGATACTCACTCATCCCTATTCTCTACCAACTTGTTATACATTTTTAGTCAATTATCCCCTTTATTTATTTAACATGTCTATTTGCCTTTTTTCTCCACTTTTTTGAAAGAATCTGTTTTTCAGTGATTTAAATAAACATCTGTTTTATTCTTTGCCACCTTGTTTTAATTTTGATTTTAAAATATTTGGTAATAAGACATTTCATTTCCAACAGGGCTTTTTGGGTATTACATTGCTTACTGTCTTTTAATTTGCTATTTATTATACTTAATGGCTAAATCTCAGGTAACTATCTCACTATATAGATTGGCTTCTTCCTATCATTTCACACTTACACAGGATTTATATAAATTTTAACTTTTCTGCAGAGCTGATGGTGATTTGCTGACAGTTTGGTAAGAGGTAAGACAGAGTAGGCCATGTCATTAGAAATACTCTCAGCATCTTCATCAACTTTTGACAATGGGATGTGTCCAAGGCACATGAGTTTCTTTGTAGCCCCTTCGTGCAGGGGTCTCTGACTAACATAATAAGGTTCTCACAGCAATTGTATTTACACCCGATAGCAGGTCCCTTGAACCTGACCATTCTAGCATAGTCACAGATATATTCTGAAGTGAGACTCCATTAGCACTTGGTAATTTTTCACTGATTATATGAAATGAATAGCAGTTCCTCCTTGCTTCATGCTGGCAGGCCCTTCTCCTTTGTGCCATGACAGCTCTTGGTTTCCTCAGATACTATATAAAAAGAGCATGACAGAGAAGTGTCCTGCTGAGGTAGCTTATGGCAGAACTTTAGGTGGGAAAGGAAGGTCAGGGAGTAAGGACCTGAGCCACTGCCAGCCAGGCTGAGGGCTTGAACACTTGTATTAACAGAGGCATTGATTCTGCCAAAAATCACTCAGTTCTGGCCTTTTCCTGACCTGCTCCTGTGTCAGCCGTGTCTAAAAGAGATTAGTGCATTGTAGAAGAAAGCGTTACTTACGAACACACAGACACAGATAAAATGGAGGTTATGAAAGAACTAACAGAGGGACTAGCAACTAGGAAGGGAAGTGCTGAAGAAATGATCAAAATGATACCAAGCATATGGAAATTTGGGGTATATTTATACACTTACGCATTTATTCCATTTGCCTTGTAATACGTATTTAAACATTACTATGTCATCAAGAGACTTTAATACTTCTGTACCCTAAGAATTTACCCCGTAATAACACAGCATGACTTGCAGAATGTTGTAGAGACAGGTTTTTGCATGTGGTGTGTTCAGTCCCTTCAGTAGCCCTCTCTGGCTTCAGTTGCTGAACTTACTGCTGTGCCCTCACAGGGGCTTTGCTCTTAGCCTATGGCTTCCCTGTATTTCCCTGTGTCCTCATATTCTTCAGTTTACAAGAGCAGGAGTCACATTGAATCAGGAATGACATAACTGCTTCATTTTTACTTAATCACAGCATTCCAGTTTCCACTTCCAAATACACTCATATTTTAAGGGTTTGGGAGTTAGGACCTCAATACAGGATTAAAAAAAAAAGATGAGAACAGGACACCACCTGTGATGATTCTCTATGATATATAATTTAATTGTATCCATTTTAACCTGTTAGTCACAAACCCAGGAGTGACTTGAACATTAAAGTTCTCTCAGAAGGGTCTGTTAACATTCACAGTTTGCTTGATTTTCAAAATATCCCCTTATGACCACTGGAACCATTTATACATCAAGACAATGTCTCTTCTGGGATTATCTTGCCTTCCGGGGACTTTATTAGTGTTCCCAGCAGAGCTTGATAACATTATTGACCTCAACTCCATGTTTTATACGTTCTTAAATTTGCTGGAATAATCTTTTCAAAATAGAATGAAGTGGCATCACCATTAAACTGAAAATTTTATAAAGTTTGCTCACTACACTTATTATTAGATATAAATTGCATTTTCTATTCTCCACAAAGCCTTGTGTTCTTCTCTGTCTCTGTCTCTGTTCCTTTACCTCTCTCTCTTCCTACCTAGTTCTCTTTCTCTTTCTATGTGTTTTTCCCTGAGCCATTTTATTTGACTTTTCAATTCATTTTTCTTTTTATGTCTTAAATCAGTCTCACGATGTAGTGCATGCTGGCATAGAACTCAAGTTCCTTCTTCCTTTGTTGAGTGCTTGGAATAACACCATGTGTCACTTTCTTCAGCTCCCTTCTTTTCCTTGAAGAGTGACACATTCTATAAACAAAAGAGAAAGATCATTTTTTCAGCTTTATCAAGCATTAATTAGCTTGAAACAAGCAATAAACTGATGTTTAATGGGAAAAATGAACACATCCAAAATAAGTGAATTGCCTCTGGATAGTTACAGACCATAATAGGTCAGTTGAATTAGAAATGTCATTGTGAGCTTTAAATAAATCAATGATATTGGTGATATAATTTGGAAACTATATCAATGGCTTGAGGAAGTATGCATTTCCTTGATTTGCCTACAAATTCTGGCTGCATTATTATGATGCAGGTGTCTATGTTTTAACGTGATTTTGATGTTCCCTAACTATATGTTACCAAACTATTTTAGAATGTTTATATTTTAGCAACCTGTTCTCAACAAGGTCACTTACAATATAGAGTGTTTATTAAGCACTGATGACCAATTTATCCTTCAAACCAACCTGTTAGTTTTATATAGTTAGTTTTATGATCTCACTTTTGAGGTAGGTTTACTGAGTTCCAGTTGTTTTGAAAGTAATCATTGGTCTAGAAGGCAGTTGGCATGCCATGTGTGAGGCTAACATAAAACTAAGTTGGTGTCTAGAGGTTATTATTATGTTCCACTGCTTTAATACTGTTTATTTACTTCTAAGTTAAGAGAACATGTACTTGTATTACAATTTACCTAACGTACAGTATTTTCTGAGTTTTGGCAGGCAGGATTAAGAAAATTTTATCTATGAATGATATTTTCAATGTTATGAGCACACTATTTCAGTCATGTAGCATGTCCCCCTTTCTAGTGTAGATCTCCCACAAAGCAGATCGTGCAAATTCCTCTTGATACACAACCACATAGGTTTTTCATGGGAGTTCTGTTAACATCAAAAAAGGTTGTGTATTTTCTCTCGCATGAATTACACCCACTGTTTCTTCTAATTCAATGTACATAATTTTGGAAAGCTAAGAGGCATATTTCTAAAAATGTTGACTACCGCAGCATCTATTTTTATACGTTTAAATTGCATTCATTCCTTTCTCCAATTGTCACCTGTGTGTAGCTGTCAAAGCTAGAGTTGTATCCACAGAAATCATGCATTGTCAACATTCCTGTGGGAAGGCAGCATAAACAATTAATTACTTTAGTAATGCTACACTGTGTTGTGAACTTTCGATGGCTGCTTGGAGTTCATAGCGAAATACAATCACAGTTTCTTACATAGGATATACAAAGCATCATATACTGCCTCAATATTTTCTGAAGATATACATGATGATGTGCAGCTATTCCTACCAGAGTGATTTTGTTCCAGTGATTAGTGAATAATTCACATTTCTTCAAGGTGATCATGAACATTTTTTTCTCTTGGAACTGCAGTTCTCCCATCCTGTTTAAGAACAGCACTAGTGTCATAAATTCCCTTCACATTATCTTATTTCATCACCCATATTTTTAATACAAGAGCCTCAAAATTATGATGTGTGACACATTATGTGTTCCAGAGAATGTGTGTGATAGTATAGTTTGTCTAATAATGTCATATGATGGTAAATAGCATCCTGCGTTTAAAAGAAACGTTGTGTTTCCTTCCCTGGAAATTCACACATTTTGGAACTGCCAAAACCAACACAGCAGGTCTGAAGAGATGCTGTGTGACTTCTGATTCTAGATAACAAAAATACCTTCTTATTCAAAGGTCTTCTATTAGTATATAGCAAGTTCTCGGAGGAATACTATGAAGATGTACAACTGAAACTTAAAACTCACTGCATTCGTAATCATTCCTGAGCATTATTTGGTATATTTTTTTTCTTTCAGAGATAAAACTTCCATATTTATCATAACATAAATTTTCATACTTGAAAGTTTCCATTCATGAA